CTCAGATGAGATGATAAATTGAGGTCCCGTTTGTACCGTGTTCACAAGAGACATTAAAGATCCTGCAACACTATTGGAGAAAGAGAAGGGAGTTTCTCCAGATGTCAGAGTCCATACCAGATCAATTCAAGCTGTATGAAACGGTTAATGTTGGACATGGTGTCAAAATGGCAAAGGGTAATGGGCAGCTGAATCATCGTCGTGGTATTAGTTTAGCAGAGTTTCCGGACATAAAGCAAAACCCACAAACACCAACTGCAAAAAGGGCTCAAACATTTAACTGCAAACGGAAGTAAAGCAACTAAGATCACAAAATTACATTAGAATACATTAGAACATACAGCACAGAAACAGGCCATTTCACCTAACTGGTCTATGCCGGTGTTTATGCTCCACATGAGCTTCCTCCTGCTCTTCCTCAACTAAGCCTTCAAGCATAACCTTCTATTCCTTTCCTCCCGACATGAAAGGCGCTATACAAATGTAATCTTGTTGTTGTTGTTGTTCTCCCTTATGTACCAATCTAGCTTTCCCTTAAATACATCATGCTATTTTCGTCAACAACCCCTTGTAGTAGCAAGTTTCACATTTCCACTACTCTCTGTGTGAAGAAATTTCTTCAAATTCCTTATCTGATCTATTTGTGACTATTTTATATTGATGGCCCCTGGTTTTGATCTCCCCCACAAGTGGAAACATCTTATTTATGTCTACCCTATCAAAACCTTTCAAGATTTTAAAGACCTCTATCAGGTCAACCCTTACCCTCCTCTTTTCAAGAGAAAAGCGTCCAAGCATGTTCAGCCTTTCCTGATAGGTATAACCTCACAGTTCTGGGATCATCCTTGTGAATCTCCTTTGCACCCTCTCCAGTGCCTCTACAACACTTCTGTAATGTGGGGACCAGAACTGCACACAGTATTCTAAGTGTGGTGTAACCAAGGTTCTATAGAAGTTTACCATATCTTCCCTGTTTTTCATTTCTATCCTTCTAGAAATGAACCCCAATGCCTGGTTTGCTTTTTTTATGGCCTTATTAACCTGCGTTGCTACTTTTAGTGAATTGTGTATGTCTACCCCTAGATCCCTTTGCTCCTCTACCCCATTTAGGTTTTTATTTTCCAGGATGTATGTGACAAATTGGTCTGGATGAAGAAGGTGCTTCAGCCCATCGGATCTCATCCTTCCAGGACACCCACCATAGCATCTCCCATCACTGTATCAAGCTGCTTTCTGAGTGAGTCCAGTGTCCTGGCCTCCATTACCTTTCCTGGTACCCTGTTCCAGTTACTGATTACCTTAGATGCATAGAAATTGAAATTAATGACACAGAAGAAGATCGTTCAGCCCATTGTGTCTGCCAACTTGCATTGATCTCGCAAGCTTAAGACTATGTCCCCTTGTTTTGGATCCCCTACCGGAGGAAAGAGTAATTCCCTATCCAGCAGAAGAACTTGCATTTTTAATAATCCTTGCATTAATGACCACATTGATTATTGTCAACTGCATTGACTGATTTTGAAGGTGAAAGCAGTAGCCATTATGCACTAAGCAATGTCCCATAAATCCCAGGCATGTCCTATAGGCTTAATGGGAGCTAGGGGTGGATGAGGAAAGAGGACTGCGGAGGCTCCTAGGTTTGAATTGTCTGAAGGCACAGTCAGAGAGATTTTTAGATGGGGCTTGAAAGCAGAGCAGGAGGGAGTGGCGGAGGGATTTCAGGAAAGAGCGGTGGGCAAAGTGATTGAAAACTCACTCACAGAGCAGGAGGCAAGCTCGAGTCAGGGTGTAGGAATCCAGCAGATTGTGGTGTAATTCTCAGTAGTTTGGTTAATAATCTTTGCATTTGATATAATAATAATAATAATAATCCTTGCATCTGATATAACGCTTTTTACGTCTCATCGACGTCTCAAAGCGCTTCACAGAATAGACTGTAAAGTGAATTGCGCACAGAAATGTCCCACAAACAGTCGTGGATTTAGTGATATAGTGATTTGATATAGTGCCTAATCACATCGTCCAGATGTCTGAAATCGCTTCACAGGACTTTTGTAGTGAAGAGTAGTGACTGTGTATTTGTAGTAAACACAACAGCCAATTTGTACACAGCAGTAGGCATGAAGTGAAAAACAAATTCTGTTTGGTTTGTTGTCTTTTCTTGTAATTATACGAGAAAACCAATATACGCCAGTTCCTCAATTTTCACACCCACAGACATTTTTTGATCACCTGATAAAAGGGTTAGCAAGTAACAAGCAGATCAATTAAATGATAACAGTGCATAGCTAGGGATGAAAATTTGGGTGGGCATCAACTTATGGTTCAATTACATACACACACTCAGTGTTTTGCACACACACAGTGTTTTACACACACAGCATTTACACTCACACACATATACACACACATAGTGTTTTACACATTCACACATACAATGCTTTACACACACACAGCATTTTACACAGTGTATTTTTACACACACACTTCTACTAGCAACATAATATGTTTTTCTGTATGAAAAGCTCCAACTAACAAATTAAATATTTGTACTCAGACTTAAAATGCCCACATCTCAAACCACAGGAACTGTGCTTGTAAAAGCAAATACATTAGACAGCAGATGAATGGGAGATGTTAACTAAAATGTAGAGGACTTTTAGGCAGTGAGAGTCTTTCCTATGCTTAGTTTGTCACCATTTATCTGGCTTACAAAAGTTCATTCAACCCAAATTATGGGGAAATAAATAAAAGTGGATTTATTTCATTTTTTTAAATCAAATGATTGACTTTTACAAATAACCATCCAGGTATTTTGTGAAATCAGTTTTAAAAAACTAACTGTCCTCAAGTGTTTTGTAAATCAGTTTTTTTTTACAAATCACAAGATACTGGTCTGGGTGAAGAAGGTCTTTCGACCATCCGATCTTATACCTCCAGATCACCATCACTGCAACAAGCTTCCCCTTAAAGCACTCCAATGTCTTGGCCACTACTATCTTTCCTGGCAACCCTCTGAGTAAAGAAAAACTTCCTGGGATCTGTCCAGATATTTGCCCATTATAATTTTAAATCTATGTCCACTTATTCTATTATTCTTGTTGCATCCTAATATATTGATTTGGTTTACCTTTTTCAATGCCTTTAAAATTTATTTACCTCTATGAGGTTTTCTCTGAGTTGTCTTCTCTCAAAACTGAAGAGCCGTAGTTTGTCTACTCGTTGTTCATAGTTTATTCCTCTAACACTGGGAATCATCCTTATTGCTCTCCTTTGCTCTGTCACTAGGGGCCACAGCAGCAAATTAAATTTTAAAAAAGCTTTTTTTCCCAAACAACCCTTTCTATTTTTACATACTTGCTAGTTTGAAATTTGCTGTCAGCTATTAGTACATATATCTTTTGTGTGTGATGAATTGCTTAAAGTTCTGTGAAGCGCTTTGGGACGTCCTCCCGACGTGAAAAGCGCTATATCAAATACAAGGATTATTCTTATTATTATTAAAGTAATTCAGACTGCCTGTCGGACGTCAAGTCCTGGATGAGGGAAAATTTCCTACAGTTGAATGTGAAGAAGATTAAGGCCCTTCTGATTGGCTCACGCCAGCGCCTCAGCACCTCAGGCTCTGGCAGCATCAACCTCCATGGTTGCACACTTCAACTCACCAAGCCAGTCAGGAACCTAGGGGTCTTGTTCAACCCCCCCCCTATCCAAGCCATGACCCGCTCTGCCTTCCCTCACCTCCGTAACATAGTCCGACTCTGTCACTACCTCACCCCTCAGGCCACTGAAACTCTTGTTCATGCCTTCATCACCTCCAGGCTCGACTATGCAAACGCTCTGCTTGTCGGCCTTCCCAACTCCTCCCTCCACAGGCTGCAGATAATCCAGAACTCTGCAGCCCGTGTCCTCTCCCGCACCAAACTCTGTGACCCCATCTCCCCCATTCTCGCCCGACTCCATTGGCTCCCTATCCTTCAGAGGATCCAGTTCAAGATCCTGGTCCTCACCTCAAAGCTCTCCATGTCCTCACCCCATGCTACCACTGTGACCTCCTAACCCCCTACCAACCTGCCCGCTCCCTCTGCTCAGCAGGCTCCGGCCTGCTCCACGTCCCCCGTCCCACCCGCCCCACCAGTGGCGGGAAAGCCTTCAGCCACTCTGCCCCCAACCTCTGGAACTTCATCCCCCAATCATTCCGCCTCGCCCCCTCCTTAGCCTCCTTCAAGTCCCGCCTCAAAACCCTCCTCTTCGACCATGCCATCAGTCACCCCCCTTCCCCTCCCCTCCCTTCTCCCTCCCTGACCCCAGCTCAGGTCTGAAATGCTGTACACTGTCCAGCACCTTGGGATGTAATCTTGTTGTTGTTATTGTAAAGTACTTCACAGTTACATAAGAGCTGCATAGATGTACATAGAGTGATCGGGCATGATAACAGGCCATTTGACCCAACTAGACAGTGCCGGTGTTTCTACTTCAACAACGACAACAACAACTTTGATTTATATGGCGCCCTCCATGCCGGATGGCGTCTCTTGTACTTCATACAAGCCTCCACCTCTTCTATTTCCCTCTCATCAATTCCCTTCTCCTTTATGTATGCATCAAGTTTCTAACTTGATGACCACATGTATAGGGGGATATTCAGAGTGTTAACCAAAGACACTTGCAAAAAGTTACACTTTAATGAGGTTTGAAGGCAGCGAGAGAGAGAGAACAAGATAAATGGATTTTGAGGACAATGTTTCTGAGAGTGGGGGCAGAATGGAATGAAAAGGCTCTGAAAAAGGACATTGAGTCAGATCTTTCACTGCTCCGAGTGAAACCTCTCCAGCTAAACACATTTGTTAACAGAGCTTTGGGAGTTGAAGAAACTACTTGTGACTGTTGCACAACACTAACCTTGTTTGTGGGTGAATTAGTTTCTATGAGGAAGTCACTTTGAGAATAAAGAGAAGTTTCTCAGTACAATCTTGAAAGGCGTTCAAGACGGTCCCGAGATGGAGTTGTCAAGCAGCAATGAAACTGATCAGTCGACCGATCTAGCAGGAATAACGGCCAGTTTAGTGTTGGGCTCTGCTTTCCTTATCGGAGTTCCAGGCAATTTCTTAGTCATCTGGATTATACTCTGTACCATGAGGCAGCGATCTCCCACTGTAGTGTTGATACTAAACCTGGCCGTTGCTGACTTCCTGGTACTGATCACCTTGCCTCTGTGGATTTATGCCTTCTTAAACAGCTGGGACTTTGGACAGGCTATGTGCAAGATTATTTCCTACATTGTTTGCTGCAACATGTACATCAGTGTGTTCCTCATCATGATGATGAGCATCGACCGCTTCTTGGCTGTGCTCTATCCATTTGTTATCCAAAAGTGGAGGAAGAACCATGTTGTTGTTAAAACGGTGCTTGTAGTTTGGATCTTGGCTTTTCTCTTCTCCATTCCAATCTTATTGGTTCAGGAGATAGACACGGACCCCAGTGGGAATCAACAATGTTTCTATAGAAATTACTCTTCAGATGGACAGCAGAAAGCAGTCCAGGTTTTAGAGATTGTGGTCTCTTTCGCAATCCCTTTCACAGTGCTGACTGTCTGCTATGTCTGCATCGTCAGAAAAATCAAGCAGATGAACTTCACTCGTCCCAACAACACAGGCAAAGTGATCGTCAGTATCATGGTGGCGTTTTTCATCTGCTGGGTGCCTCACCACCTCGTCAACATGATCTCCACCACAGCGCTGTTGATGAAGAACTCGGACAAGGACATGTCAGACGCACTAGAGAATGCTGTTGAACATGTAGTCCATATCGTAGGTGCTTTGACCTTTATCAATAGCTGCGTGAACCCTATACTTTACGCTTTCGCCGCCCGGAAATTTCAAAGTGGTTTACGAGCATCCAGCTTCGCCAGGTTATTTGATCAGCTGACACATTCCATCAAAGATGATTCCAGGAGGGAAACCGTAATTAAAACAGGAACCGAGATTAGCCTCACTATGCAGGAAATGCATTCTCTGCAGACCACTTAAATAGTTCTGTGTTTTTCCTAAGGAAAAGGCATTTAAGGCGATTTTTTTTTGACTTGGATGGACACTCTATTTTCTCTACAGTTCATTTTTCTCCACCACCTGAGAATTGTGCTTATTGTCTGTCTGCTTCGCACTTTTGCCAGAACAATCTGACTGTGAGTGCCGTGGACTGACACTGTAATATTCTGTGCTGATACTCAACTCAAATTATAAATGTCATTATCTTGCTTATCATCCTTCATGCTCAATAAAACAATCGTACGAATAAGGCTGTGGCAGAACTGTTAAATTGTATTTCAGCCCAGTTGCTACTGTATATTTTAGCATCAGCATGTTTTCAGACAGGGTTGCTATCCATTCAGCTCCTCCATCTCATTGACAAGTGTGTTGAACTATCTCTTCTGCGATAATAATAATATTTCTTGCATTTGATATAGCGCCTTATCACGTTGTTGTGACATCTCAAAGCGCTTCACAGGATATATTGTAAAATGGATGAACTGTGTACTTTGTGGGTGAAATGCGTGGAAACAAGAATTGCCCTGATCAGTTGTGACATTTCATAGAATTACACTTACAAATTACATTTGTATAGGGCCTTTCAGGTCGGGAGGACGTCCCAAGGCGCTGGGCAGTCAGGGACTTGGACCCGAGCTGGGGGTTGGGATCAGGGAGGGTGGAGGTTGGGAGGGTGGAGGGCGAGGAGGATAGGAGGGTAGCTGAAGGCTCGGTCGAAGAGGAGGGTTTTGAGATGCGCCTTGAAGGAGACAAGGGAGGAAGCGAGGCAAAGAGACTGTGGCATGGAGTTCCATAGGGTGGGGGCAGAAAGGTTGAAGGCCCGGCCGCTGATGGTGGAGTGGGCCAGGCGCGGTCATGAGCAGGTCAGAGCCTGCTGAGCAGAGGGAGCGGACAGGTTGATTATATTCTGTTGTCTGTATATATACATTGATTATCCTGTAGAGAAGAATTTCTGATGATTGTATGGAGATATTGATTTGTATCAATTTTGCTCTTCTGTGCATTTGCTTTCATTTTTTTTCTTCCTGGTGTTTTGATTTTCTGGAATGTTTTCTTTGGGATTTGTCGGGAGATCAGAGTGAATCAATAGCCCAAGGCAGGGAGTTCACCTACCATCCACTGAGTGAGGGCTCAAACCCGTGCTTGTCAGATGTTGAATGACCAACTAGTAACTATTCTCCTTGGGGGTAGGTAAGTTGGGTCTCCTTGGAGCTGAACTAGCTCCACGTTGACATGTTTGGCAACAGAATGTCAGAATCGAGCCAGCCTTCTGTATCGATCTCAATAGTCCGGTTCCTGAGCCAGGCGGATCCACAGTATTCCAGGGCACTGCTGAGGACAGCATGGCCAGCCTGGCTTATCGGTAGGATTTGGAAGGGCAGACCAGTCACTGGGGCCAGGGAATCCTTCCCACAGCTCCTGTTAACCCTGCAAGAAAAAGCCCTAAGAGGTAGGGTGGTCCTAGCTAGAAAAGCAGTAGGAAAGCTTGCCAAACAGCGAGCTAATAAGCGGTGTTGCATTTAAGGAGGAGATGGATTCCGGATCTGAGAAACATCCTTGACGGCATAAGCAATATTTTTATCTGTCACTTCGAGAAACATAATCCGTAAGAATTATATAGAAATCCGAAGTTTTAAATTATGCACCAGTATTGCTTAATTTCACTATTCTATTTACAAGGCAATCTTTTAACCAGGAAATGTGAAAATTTGTACAGATTTTTTAAACAACAATAAGCAAATCTCGAAGGGATTGATTGAATTTAATATAAGTACATCACCCCAACCAATTTGCAATCAAAGGCTGGACATGGTCCACAGTCCACCCCCTGACTGGCAGTCCAGTCTGCCAATCAGCCATATTGTGAGAGGCAGAATGTAGGAGTTATGTTGGCCAAATTAAGGATCTCCTCCTGTTCTGGCAAGTGCCATTGCTCCCACCCATTAATACCTTAGGTAAGTGATTTACAGCTTTTGCTTGTTGGACAATGAAGTTGTAAATGGTTCGGGCCAGGATGAAATCATCCCCCTGGCTGGATGCGGATTTGTTCAAAACATCAAACTACGACTGTTTGTGGGACACCGCTGTGCACAATTGGCTGCCTGATGTTGCCCACAAATATACAGTCAATTCACTTTACAATCTATTCTGTGAAGCGCTTTGAGACGTCTCGAAGACGTGAAAAGCGCTATATCAAATGCAAGGTTTATTATTATTATTAAAACTGGAGCGTGGGTATTTTGTAAGTATGAGATCAATGAAAGAGTCAGAACAAGACCCTCAGAATTAAAACTGTAATTGTTAGCCTATGTATTTCGTAACTATTTTGATGTGCATTAAGGATTTTATCACTGCTTTAATTAAAACAAGAGAAGAATGATTTTTTTGTATTTGCATAATCCTTCTGTTCTTCCTCATAAGTATATATAACTTGCAGGTATGTATAACTTAATAAATAAATAACAATCCTTGCACTTGATATAGCGTTTTTCATATATTCTAGATGTCTCAAAGTGCTTCACATACTGTACTGTAAAGTGAATTGACTGTATATTTGTGGGCGAAAATTGTAGGTATAGAGCGTATATAACTGGGAACTTTGGCCCAAGCCGAAACAACTGCAGTACTGTCTGAGCCTCTACATCAGTGAATCATTTAAAAACCTACTTCTGACCTTTCGCAGCTTGCTCACTTTCAATTTGCTAACAAAGCTGAATGTGATGGAACGTTCACTTTCCACTTTAATGCTGATTATTGAAAAATGGAATAGCAAAAGCCCAGAACAACAGAACACTCTTTCCTTTAATATTGTTCTGACACCATGTGATAATCCTTCACCACGCTTAAGAGTGTCCAAGCCACATTAAGAGTTCTGCTTATATACCCATGTAAATTTCGGTATGTCTGGAAGGGCATGTGCACTCTCTCCCAGATGGGATGGACATTGACTGCCTAAAATTCCAAAGAGTATTCGTCACAGGCTGGCAAGAGCCAAGAATTGGGGATCCCAGAGTGTGTGTCCGTTGGGGTACTGCTGAAGTTTAATCAGCTAAAACTGCAAAGCTTGCCATTGAGAGCACCATCTGGCAAACATCCCACTGCTTGTCCAAATAGGATCACCCTAATCATTAGGGCTTTGGCTTGCCCAGTTAACAGGAGCTTTGTGGAAAATATCCCTGCTTCTAATGACTTGTCTGACCCTCCAGTTCCTGCTGAATTGAAGATATCTTTTCGTATATGTGTGATTTACTCTGGTGCTTTGATGTTTGTCAGTAACTGCGTGAAAACAACCACTGCCTGAACCTCTGCATCAGCAAATCATTTAAAAACCTACCTTTGGGCTTTAGAAACTTGATCACTTTCAATTTGCTAACAAATGTTAAGAGTGGTGGAACATTCCCTTTCCAGTTTATTTCTGAGTATCCCTGACTGTCCAGCACTCTGGGATATCCTCCTGACATGAAAGGCGCTATGCAAATGTTTTTTATTATTGTTGTTGAATATTGAAAAGTGGAATAACAAAAAACAGAATTTCCTTTAATATTGTTCTCTGAACAAACAAAGTAAACAACAAATCTTATTGTTTTACTTGCTTACTTCTAACTTTGGTGTTACTGGAGTACTCAAAGAACGGCGCTAAATTATTGTCGTAAACCAAGTTACTCTGTTCATTTATTTAATTATTTATTGATTGATAAGCTCAGTGTCTTTCAGGTACAATTGGCAGAATCTGTATTGACCTTCAAAGGGGAATCAGACAAATACTTTTTTAAAAAAAAGTCAACTACAGTGATTTTGGAGAAAGGGTGGGTAAATGTGACTGAAAGGATTGCTCTCGAGGGAGCTGGCACAAACACAATGGGTTGAATTTCTTTCTTCGGTGCTATAAATTTCTATGGTTCTATGGTTCTGCCAGAAAGTGCTTTCAATGGCAAGCTATGTGGTTTTAGCTGGTTCGACTCCAGCAATTATCCCAACACACACCCTGGGGACTTCAAGCTTTGGTTCTAGCCATTCAACGCCTAGTACCATTCTCACCCACATGAAACTCCGCTCCCCAATCACCCCAGTCCTGGCCAGACTGCACTGGCTGCCTATCCCAGAGAGGATCGATTTCAAGATCCTCATCCTTGTATTCAAGTCCCTGCACTCCTCTGCACCCTCCGACCTCTCTGACCTCCTCTCTCCTCAAAACAGTTCCCGTTGCCTTTGTTCCTCCAGGTCTGGCCTCCACCTCGTCCCCTGAGTCCTCTGCTCCACCCTCGGCGGCCGTGCCTTCAGCCACTATGCCCCGAGGGTCTGGAACTCCCTTCCTCACTTCCTTCGTCTCGCTCCATCCCTTCCCATTTTCAGGTCTCTGCTGAAGACCTTCCTTTTCGACCGCGCCTTTGGTCACCTTCCTCCCCCTCCCCCTCCCCCGGCCCCGGGATCCGTTACTGTAAAGCGCTCTGAGACGCCATCCAGCGTGGAGGGTGCTATATAAATCCAAGTTGTTGTTGTTGTTGTTGTTGTAGGACTCTCCAGATTAGGTAAGCAGGATGCATCCCTCCAGGGAGAGAGTGTGCATTCCATTCCAATAAATATCTCCGGAATTTCCATGAAGAAGTAGGATACATGGAACTATCAGTTTGGTTTGGATTCTCTGAATCATGGTGATGGGTTCCACGTGTGTCAGGCGCCCACCCGACCCCCCCAAAAATACAGTCATACATGTTAAATGCTCTGAGACACTACTCCATGTAAAGGGTGCTACATAAATGCAAGTTGGTGTCTTGGATTCTCTTAAGCATGGTGATGAGTTTTGCACGTGTCAGTCACCTGGCTGACCAAAAAAAAATACAGTCACTACACATTAAGTGCTCCAAGCCCCCATGTAAAGGGTGCTTTGTAAATACAAGTTGTTGTTATACTATATATTCTGTGAGGAGCTTTAAGGTGTCCTCGCCATCTAAAAGATGCTTCATGCAAGGAGTCCTGTAGCTCAGTGGTTAGAGCACTCGCTTTGCAAGCGAGAGACCTGAGCTCAATTCCAGGCAGAGGGCGAAACCTTGGGCAAGTTTCCTTACTCCACACAGAGCCTAATAATAATCCCTCCAAAACCAAAAAAAACAATAATAAATTGGTCATTTTCAATCTACAACTGTTTGTGGGACATTGCTGTGCGCAATTGGCTGCCGCGTTCGCCCACAAATATACAGTCAATTCACTTTACAGTGTGTGCTGTGAAGCGCTTTGGGACGTCCTCCCGACGTGAAAAGCGCTATATCAAATGCAAGGATTATTATTATTATTATTATTACTGAATTGTCGAAGAATTTCTAAACATGTTTTTCAGACTGAATACAACCAGCGATAACATTTGCTCTCGAGAAATGATGCAATGCAACAGGATGTTGTAATTCTGTTATCTTTCCCCATTTGATATTCATCTTAGGTTTTATTGATCAATTGTTACATGTAGAGTACATGAGTAAGGTGTGAAACCAAAGAATGGTCTAACATATGGAGAGTTAAGGTTCAATAATTCACTTCATCATTAATTCACTCCCGACGTGAAAAGCGCTATATCAAAAAAAAATGCAAATGCAAGAAATATTATTAGTGTCAGTTTCTAATTCACACCAGAGAGTTTGAAGAATTTGTTTACGAAATATCTTGTGAAACATTCCAGAAGTAGTGTGAGGGGAATTTTCAAGTTCCGCTTTCTATGCATTTTCATTATGAAACAGGACACTGGCTGATCAATTCTGCCTGCCATGATATATTTTTGTCTTGCATCTGTCATCTCTGAACTTCTTCATTTCTCCCTTTCCTGTAGATATCTTATAGCATGCTTTTGTACTTTTTTTTAAAAAAAAGAGCTTAAATAGACACAAATTCAAGTTAGATTCCTAAAAAACAATAATAATGATTTGGTCACTCAATCCACGACTGTTTGTGGGGCACGGCTGTGCGCAAATGGCTGCCGCGTTTCGCCCACAGAATATACAGTCAATTCACTTTACAGTATATTCTGTGAAGCGCTTTGAGACATTTAGAAGACATGATAAGGCGCTATATCAAATGCAAGGATTATTATTATTTGTCTGATAGTCTCAATCCTATAGTTGCCACCCCAAAAGAGCTGTGGAAATCTGGCTATAAAACAAAACAATTTTTTGTGGAACACTGCTGTACGCTATTGGCTGCCTTATATCATAAACCTCTCCCTGTCCACTGGTACTGTTCCCACCCCATTAAAAGTGGCCATCATCACTCCTATCCTTAAAATCCCTCCCTGGACCCATCACTGCTCTCAAACTACCGCCCCATCTCCAACCTCCCTTTCATCTCAAAGGTCCTGGTATGAGTTGTTGCTTCCCAGCTTCGCTCCTTCCTCACCCGCCACTCCCTTCCACAAAAAATTGTTTTGGTTTTATAGCCAGATTTCCACAGCTCTTTTGGGGTGGTAACTATAGGATTGAGACTATCAAACAAATAATAATAATAATAATAATAATAATAACCTCTCCAATCGGGTTTCCGTGCGGCCCACTGCACAGAAAAAGCCCTGGTCAAAATGACAAAATTACATTCTGTCCATCTGCGCGCAGGGCCCCCTCTGTCTCCTCGTCCTCCTTGACCTCTCTACTGCCTTCGACATCATTGACCACTCTATCCTCACCCACCACCTCTCCTTGCACCTCAACCTTCAAGGCTCTGTCCTTAGCTGGTTCAGGTCATACCTCTCATCTGCCTCCACTTCATCTCCACTAATGGTTTCTCTTCCAGCCCCCGCATGGTCTCGTGCAGCGTTCCTCAGGGCCTCTGTCCTTGGTCCCCTCCTCTTCAAAATCTATATGCTTCCTCTTGGTGACATCATCCGCAGACATGGGGTTAACTTCCACATGTATGCGGATGACACCCAACTGTACCTCTCTGCCTCCACCCTTGACTCCAGGACCACTGCTGTCCTGACAGAATGTCTGTCAGACATCAAATCCGGTATGAGAGTTAACTTTCTTCAGTTGAACATCAATAAGACCGAGGCTCTCCTGATTGGCTCCCGTCGGCTTTCCGCCACTCTGCCCCCACCCTCTGGAACGCCATTCCACAGTCCTTCCGTCTCGCCCCTTCCCTTCCCTCCTTCAAGACCCATCTCAAGACCCTCGTCTTCGACCGTGCTTTCAATCACCCTGCTTCCCCCGCTGGCCTCCACCCTCCCCAATCCCGATCCCCAGCTCGGGGATGGAAACTCTGACTATCTAGCGCCTGGTAAGTCTTCCCGACGTGAAAGGCGCTATACAAATTTAATTTTGTTGTTGTTGTTTCGCCCGCAAAATACATGGTCAATCCACTTTACAATATAGTCTGTGAAGCACTTTGAGCTATCTTAATGGCATGATAAGGTGCTGTATCAAATACAAAGGTTATTATTATTAAAACTAAATTTAAGCATTTTCCAAAATGATGCACAATCTTAAATTTGAAGACAGTGATCTTAAGGCTAAGACCATTGGAAATTTCAGAGCTCAGGAATGGGAACCGTGGTTTGCTTCTGTCTGCTCTCTCAGTTAAAGACATTTGCTAAGTTTCAGGTGCTTTCCCCAGATGCCTAAATTAGCATAGAGCACAAACCTTTTTATCTGCATTGCTATGGCATTTGTTAATCAGTTCCTTTCATTTTAAATAGACAATTAACTGTCTTTCCTATTATTATTTTTTTCTGTTATTTCAGCTCTACTCAGCCCTGTTCAAACTCAATGCACTAATTACTCTATACAATAACTTTGTGATTACAATCACTTTTTTTCCCCCATGAAGGTGCATCTGTCAAACCTTTCACGTGTATTCGATTCATCCATCCATCGATACGTCCCATTGGTGCCGAGAGATTAATTAACTGGCCGCCTTCTGAGTGCCTAAGAACTGGACTAAAGAACTGAGATATACGTTATCCAATTTCAAGTTCCTCATTGCAACTCAATCATTATCTCATTCACCCCTTGGGACATCCTCCCGATGTTATTGTTATAGTTGTCATTCTTTTTAAATGCTGTTACAACATAGCAATTTTACTTGAAGGTGAGATGAGTCTATCTTTCAATCTTTCAATTCAATGTGGAGTCCCTTATTGTAATGGTTAGAGAGCGCGCTAACCACTAACCACTTCGGGACTCCACATTGAATGGGAGTGAGAGAACCCGGGTTCGATTCCCACGCACGACAAAATCGTAGGCAAGCTTCCTTACTCCATACGCCTCTGTTTACCTAGCAGTAAGTAGGAACCCGGTTGTTAGTGGATTGGCAGATTTGCGGATTGCTTTCCGGGGATAATAATTTGTGCACCCCAAAAATAATAATTTGGTCACCCAAGCCACGACTGTTTGTGGGCGCTGCTATGCACAATTGGCTGCTGTGTTTCACTCACAAAATACAGTCAATCCACTTTACAATATATTCTATGAAGCATTTTGAGATGTCTCAACGACGTGATCAGGGGCTACATCAAATGCAAGGATTATTATTATTAGAGTTAAACTTGTTTAAAACATGCACTTGAGTCATTGGGTATCAGAAGAATGTTGTGAACGTGCAGTAAACTCCTGATAACTTATCACTCCAAAAGAAAAGGGCTCAGTGACGAGTTATCTGGAGTGGCGAGTTAGGCATATGCATAACTATATAAATGAATCCAGCCGGGATATTGACAGCATGATGACTTAAGTGGTGCTGACAAGCTAAGCCAGGGTCGAGTTATTAGGAATTCACTGTACTTAAGCGAGCCCAATGTCCTGCACCTCTTACTGCCTCGCTGGGCTGTGCCGTGTTTTCGCATTACTTTAGTCAGTAGCTCTATGGGATGTACTACAAAATTGAAGCATTCAGTCCACGTGATTTGTGTGTTGGGCTAAAATTGGTATGTTGCAACAGCACAAGGGTGGTGCACAAAAAGAGTGACTCTCCATTTATGGGTAAAATGATTTTGTTTCAATGAGGAACTTGAAGTTGCATAAAGTAAATCCCAGTTCTTCAGCCAAGTTCATTAGCACTCAAGATGGGGCCGGTTAATGAATCTCTCAGCAGCAATGGAACGTATGACTCAATGGATGAAATTCAAAATATAGTTGCCAGCGTCATCCTTGGACTGACCTACATTATTGGAGTTCCGGGGAACTTACTAGTTATCTGGGTCATTGTGTGGAAGATAAAACAACGGTCTCCCACTGCCTTGCTGATCCTCAACCTAGCAATAGCTGATTCCGTTGTTCTGATCACATTGCCCCTGTGGATCTATGCAATCTCAAATGGCTGGATCTTCGGAGAAGCTTTGTGTAGAATTCTGCTCGTCTTGATTTATTGCAACTTGTACGGCAGCGTGTTCTTCATTACACTGATGAGCATTGACCGTTTCATGGCTGTAATCTACCCATTTGCCTCACAAAAGTGGAGGAAGAATGCTTTTGTTGCCAAAGTATTGGTGGTTGTGTGGTCATTAACTTTACTCCTGGCTCTTCCTGCTTTGTTCAGTAACAAAGTAGAAGTTACCGGCGATCACCTCCAATGTGTGCTTCATCTCTACGAGTCCGACACACTGCAGATTATATGCCTTGGATTGGAGACTTCGGTTGGATTTGCAATTCCGTTTACAGTGCTCACGGTGTGCTACATGTGTGTTGGAAAAAGGGTAAAGCAAATGACTTATAAGAAGAAAAATCAGACATCAATGCTGATTGCAAGGATTGTGATAGTTTTTGTTGTTTGCTGGTTTCCTTACCATTTGTTCAACCTGCTTGAAATCGCTTCCATCCTGATAGAAACGACGGAAGTATCAACGCGATTCAAGCATATTTCTGACACTGGATCATATCTTTCAGGAGCTTTGGCATTCATTAGCAGCAGCATTAACCCCTTACTCTATGCATTTGCTGCTCGCAATTTTCGACAAGGCTTTCTATCTTCAAAGCTGGCAAAGGTGTTTGAGCAAATGATCGAAAACACAAAAGAAGAATCCACCAAAGAAGACATTAATATGCTGCAAAAGGAAAGTGGCTCCCTGGTTAATGATCTGGAATCCCAGAGCAATATGTAATCCTCTGGTATGTTGTTAATGACGAGTTGTTCAAGATTATTATTGCCAAAGAAACTGCCCTGAGGTTTAGAAAAACATACAGTACAATTGTTGTTGTTGCAATAAAGGAAATTCACAATAACTAGCTGAGTAGAAGAAACTGGATACTTGCTACTACTTACAATACCATAATACTTTTATACTGTCGACATAACAAGTAACTTGTACTATATTGCTACATTTATCTCTTAAAATGCTGGTTTGAATATGTTCTTGACTGCACTGTGGTTAAAATAACACCAACTTGGATGATAATAAAAGTGTTTTTATAAGGACATGTTGCGTAAACTTGGTCTCTATTCCTTTGAGTTTAGAAGTTTGAGGGGTGATCTGACTGAAGTTTTCAAAATAATAAAGGGATATGATAGGGTAGATACAGAGAAACTATTTCCTCTGGTGGGGAAATCCAGAACAATCGGGCGTAATCTTAAAATTAGAGCTCAGCCATTTAGGAGTGAAATCAGGAGGTAGATTTTCACCCAAAGGCTAGTGGAAATCTGGAACTCTCTCCCCTTAAAGGTTGTGAATGCTGGTTCTATTCACATTTTCAAGGCTGAGGTGGATAGATATTTGTTGGGTAAAGATATCACGGGAAATGGGGCAAGGACGGATAATTGGAGTTGAGGGTACAGATCAGCCATGATCTTATAGAATGGCGGAACAGGCTCGAGTGGCTGAATGGCGTACTCCTATTTTTATGTTTGTATGTTTGATGCTTGCTGTTACAAATGGTGTTTTATTTCTATATTTATGTTTGATATTGATATAGATAATAAGTGTTACAAATAAACCACAGGTACATTATGGTGATATTTTAACGATACAAAATTAACTTTGTTTTCATTGCAGTTTGCAACTAATTTTATTCTATGTTCCTATGATCTTCGAAAGACTGTTTGATATTTCTTTCTCCGCTCTGGTCCCATCAAATAATCGTCATTTTGTCCACAAAATTACCCAATACTTTCCCTTCCTGTGACAAGTGTTACAATCGTTCTTGGAACAAAACCATGTTTAAATGTTTGTTTAAATTATTTCAAAAATGGAAGGAAGGCTGCGCTGTATTGAAAATGATGAAGAAATAGATTTTGCAATCCAATAATATCACACTGATTTTGAAACAATAATTTTTGCATTTAAATTAGTGCCTTGTCATTGCGACATCTCAAAGCGCTTCACAGGATTTACTATAAGGTGTAGCGACTTTGTATACGTAGGCAAAAGCAGCAGCCAAGATGTGCACACAATGTCCTACAGGCAGCCATGCTTGAATGATCAAGTATATCAGGGGATTGATTGTTGGCCAGGATAATTTCAATAGAAATCTGAAATAATAATGTACGGAAATGAATCAGAATTACTGTATGGTGCTATTTGAAACCTGACATTTGCACTCAGCTAGAACTGAAAGGCACAAAATCTGACCCAGTATTACCCTGTAAGGTGCTTTTGTCTTAATATTTCAGATTACGTAGAATTGTGGGAAAAAATCTTCAAATCAGTATTAATTTGGGCATTGGTTTCTCAAAAAAAATTGACATCCAAAGTGAGATGGAATTTGTCTCAAATTTAGGACAAAATGCTTTTACAGACTATAAGTAGATTGAATTTGGAATCCAAAGAATCTACAAAGTTCTCACTCTTGAGGTAACAAATTCTACCTAGTCTTAGCAGTGGAAGACTATTTATTTCCCCTTGAAATTGAAGAATTCTATGAAATTCTCTTAAATTGGGAGCAGACTCCCTTTAAGGAGAAACCAGTTTCCAATTTGAGATGGAACTTAAGAACTTTCCACAATTCTTGGAGATTTTGAAAGTGTAGAACAACTGGTCTTACGGGCTAAGAATATGTGAAATTTTACGGCTCTGAACACTAATCATTGACTCCCAGTGACAACTTTGTGTGGAGTGAGTTTTACTATGTCGTGCCTCACAGTCGAATACATGTCAGGCATTCTGACACGTGTACTCTTCTGTCGATGGGTTTCTGCATGTGTCAGACACCCAGATGATGAGAGAAAAAAAAATCATTAGAAGTGGACAAGACAAAACTCAACAACTGTAGTGGCAAAATGTGGTAGTTGCGTAAAACATTCCAGAGGGAAATGAATCAGAAACACACATTGCTATCCCAGGGAAGCCTGAGAGCTTGTCATCAGCTTGTGATTGATAATAAATCATTTTTCAATTTCAAAGGTTTAGCATCAAGGAACCCACATACGATGCAGATGATCTACAGTTAAAAACTATACACTTCAAAATGATGTACTGCTAGATACAATTCCTGCACTCCCTCGGTACATCTTTACTCCTCTTAATGGTGGGAATTTCACTGACGAGGGTGAAACTGAGCCATTCAGATTAGCAAGGGCTCGGGTTCGATTCTTGGTCTGTGCTGAATTGGCTGATCTCAACCACACAGCAGCTGAGGAACTATAATTCACCACAGAGGGAAGAGGAGAGGGTATTTGTTCCTGATTCTTCTCCTGAACCTGATATAACCCTGATTCCTTCAGGAAATCTGCATAAAATCTACTGCAAAAACCACAACAACTTGCATTTATATAGCAACCTTCATGTAGGATAATGTTTTGAAGCACTGAATGAATAACATTGATAGCTTTGAGCACATGGAATAGAACTGTTTGATGGATTTACACTACCTCAAGCACTTTTATGTAAATTTATCAACGGAACTATTTTTAGAGTTGAGTTTAAGATAGAAATTCCACCTGCATCTAGATTTACTCTATCAATTTAGCATTTCTGAGTGTAAGGAATTTGTCAAGATTATATGATCTCATCCTTCCAGCCTGCTCACTCTATCCCCATTACAGTATTAAGTGTTTGAGACATCTCGAAGACGTGATAAGTTATATCAAATGCAAGGATTATTATTATTGTTATTTTTAAGCTGTTTCGTAAATGTTTCCACCATAGTGCCATATCCAGAAGGTAGTTCCCTGGTCACCAGAAGAGGGCAATAACTTCCTAAGAATGAGGATTGCAAGAGGATTCCCGTGTTATTCATTCTGGTATTTCAACATCATTAACTACTGCAGAAAGTCTTCCAATTTATTGTGCCACGCTTTTTTGTAACTAATTTAATATTATCTAAACTGCTTTCCTGAGCTGATCAAAGCAGGAACCTTCAAATCTTAATTAAAATGATAAGAACAGAGGTGTCCGTGATGTACAGAAGGAATTTCAAGTGCACTTAATTATAATCATTCACTTCACAGCTGTTTGTGGGACATTGCTGTGAGCAAATTGGCTGCTGGGTTTGTCAACAAAATACACAGCTACTACACCTTACAGAAAAGTCCGTAAAGCACTTTGAGACAAGGTGATAAGGCTATATCAAGACGCAACAATTATTATTATTATTATTATTATTGTTATAACAATTAAAGAAAATAATTTATTATTAATCAATCCTATTGATTTAATTGATTGAATTAGTACATAATTATGGGCTTGTGTCATTTCCTCTGTGCACCTGCAGTTTACAAATGGTTTACAAATGGCGCATAATAGAATCTCAGGTTGATTTATAAACATACTAAAAAATTATTTTGCTAAAATTATTTTGTAATTAACTCTTACGTCACCCGAAGGTCTGCGGTGCTTCTTTGTGCCCAAGGGTTCTGTACCTTTCCACTCACGCACTCAACATTGAAAAACTATCAATACAACAGTAACAAAATCACTCAAGCACCAAGTGTTACTTAAATATTAACCTGACTCTCAAAAACAAACCAAAATCATTTAAAATAAAAATAAAACATCTTACAAGCATTGACTATAATCATCCCATAATAATAATAATCCTTACATTTAATATAACGCCTTATTACATCTCAATGTCCTCACAGGATTTTATTGTGAAGTGTGCTTTCTGTAGATGACTTAATTGTGACTTAAATCCTTTTATTTTATTTTCCCGATTCTTTTCCTGTTTCTTTTTGTTAAAATGCACTACTTTCTACCTGTTCTTGCCATTGTAATTCCACTAACTATCCCTTACCTGACTAATATACCACACAGCACTACATTATATGCTTATCATCAGTAAACATTTTGATGTGGTTGTTGAGGATTTTAACAATGTTTGTATGAAAAATATTCCATCGTCAAACATCTGTGTTTTAAGCATTCAGTTCAAATTGTACTTCTGTGGCCAAACCTCGCATTAGCTTTGCATATGGGTTGATTAGATAAGGTAACTAAGGTTACCTCGCTTGATATATCCACTGAGCCATGATCTCTCTCTCTCTCTCCCTGCCCTGTCTCTTCAAAACACTCTTACATTATCAGAGTTATGAGCCGGCATCACATGACACAAGACTTGTCAGAGATTTTCTCCACACCTGAGAGGAGAGCCAGGTAATGAGAGTAAGGTCACTAAGGTCATGCACGTTAACAGCTGAAGCTGTGAATCATTGGCATTGGGACCAGTGTCAGTTGACGTAAATGTTGTTGTTATTGTCCTATAGCTCAGGTGCATTCCTGTATGACCAGACAGATAATAATATAATTATAATAATCCTTGCATTTGATATAGAGCTTTTCACGTCTTCTCGACGTCTCAAAGGGCTTCACAGAATATGCTGTAAAGTGAACTGACTGTATATTTGTGGGTGAAACGCGGCAGTCAATTGCGCACAGCAGTGTCCCACAAACAGTCGTGGATTGAAAATGACTAATTTATTATTGTTTTGTTTTGGAGGGATTACTATTAGGCGTGTGGAGTAAGGAAACTTGCCCAAGGTTTCGCCCTTTGCCTGGAATTGAACCCAGGTGTCTCGCTTGCAAGGCGAGTGCTCTAACCACTGAGCTACAGGACTCCGCATGGTTTTTACATATTCGAGGACTGAAATTCCACCTAGCCTAAGCCTTTAAGGCTATTTGTCTTAAAACGTCACAATGGTGCAGAATTGTGAACAGTTGTTGAATTCAGGTTTCATTTGGAGCTTGTTCCTTTTAAGGACTACAAAGAACTGTTAAGGCTTTTTTTTCTCAAAGTTAAGGCTTTGTGTCATTCTTGCTTAGTTGGTTGCACTCTCACTTCTGAGTCAGAGTTCAAGATCCATGTCGGGACTTGGAACTTATATAGTCTAGGCTGATACTCAAACACAGTGCTGAGGATATGCTTCATTGTTTGAGGTGGTGTGCTTCGGATGAGATGTTAAACCACATTTCAGGGCTTTTGATAGCGTAACTATCTTCATTGTATTTACAGCAACAACAGCTTGCATTTATACAGGAC